AATAAACATCTTAATGTTTTATTCTGCAGCGTGAGTCTGATCGAGTGCGGTCCAGTCAACACCAACTTCCTGGTGAATCTGCAGAAGGCGGAGCTCGGAGATCCATGTCTCCAACAGGTTGATGCCCAAACACTCAGTCTGTATGAAAAATACCTGCAACACTGCAGCGCTGTGTTCCAAAACGCTGCTCAGGATACTGAGGACATTGTAAAGGTGGGTTTCAGTGATGCAGCAGTTGAAGTTGTTAAAGTACATCCACTTCCTGTTAGAAGCACACCCAAAMATTATTACTAATAATTCATCCTTTCAAGCTTTGTTGAAGTAACAACAACACCATCTGCTCTTGTGTTTGTTTCTGTCCTTGAAGGTATTTCTCRCTGCCATCCAGTCAAGCAGCCCTGCGTTCAGATACTTCACCAACAGCTCCCAGCTGAAGGTCGCAGATCCAGATGGAACCCAGTAYATCAGAGATATGAGCAAGATCATTTTCTCAGCCGAGGAAAAATCTTTTTAAACATTTTGTTCCGACAAAACAACCAGATTCTCTGCAGATGTTAGGGGTTTTTGTGTAAAGAGCTTTTTCTAAGTTTAGCTCAGAGTTTTATACCTCGTTCTGTTTTTGTGCATCACGTTACACTGTTGGGGAAAATGTTAGTTTTGAGTCATTCCACGGTCTTTGCATTGCTCTCAGTAACACGCTCGCCACAGTTTGTGTAAATTATCTGCTATTTCTGAGTTTCCAGAGGAGGTTATTTTAATAGAAACATAAAATAGGTGCTTRTGTAAATTTTGGTTCTGCCTTTTTTTTAAGCGTTTAAAAATAAAATGGCCATTTTTGTCTGTTGACCAAAAAGCACATTCCACAGAAAACATATTCATCAGAAATAATAAATCTACATTTTAGTACGACCAAACTGATTTACCTTTTGTATGTTGTAACAAAATATGAAATTATGACATTCTGTACAAGTATATATATATATATATATATATGTGTATGTATGATATAAAGTCAGATCATAAATTATAGATTTGCTTTAAAATATACTTATCTCTAGAATATTCTGTTACTTTACTGTGTGTAGATTAGGATTAAAATCTGTATAGATGTAAACGTTTTGAGCTCATCATCAAAAACTTTAGCTGCGTTAAGTTACTGCATCTCCTGCATTCTGCAAATTCATTCATTAATGTCGTTTATCAATGAAGTGAAATTGATGGAGATGAGAAATAAACAAAAGCAAAGAAATTAAAAAGAAATCCATTACACAGTGTAACTTCATTCAACAGAAGCAGGGCCTAACCGAAATATTTCTAAGTAGGTGCAGAGGCTAAAGAAAGTAAAAATATGTCGGTGTGATTTGAGTCTCAGCTCAAAGTTTCGAGGATTAGAGTCTGAAGGAGTTGAGATCCAGCTGGAACAGAGCCCAGTCTCTTTGTGATGTTTAAGTAAATCCGGGGGTGAGCGTGTTCTCTTCTAACACGACACAGGTTATCTTGTCTGAACAGCCAAGTGTTACGTATCTGGCCTGTATTCGACAGGACTAATTATGGCTCTTAAATCCTTTCCCAGGCCGGGTGCTCTAATTCCTCACCGGATCTTTTTAATTATTTATTTCTTGTCTCCAGCAGGTTTGGTTGTGTTACCACACAGCCTCTTCTTCATTTCACCTCTGGTTTAATCGTTACAAAGGTCAGTTTGGTGACGTCCGTGCCTCTGCTGCGTCAAAGTCCAGGGTCAGGGTGTCCACATCTGGAACTGGCTGGACTCGACCACACAAGAGGAGATTTCTCAAATACCATGAACTTGGTTGTCAAACACTTTCAGTCATTTGGTCACAGTTTACAGTCATGTGTTATACTTTCTTTTTATTACATCAAAAACATAAAACTTTATTGAAAATATCTGTGTTAACTGGTCAAACGACAAATACTGGATATAGTGGCATATAGGGCAACATGGTGGTTATTTATAAGGACTATTTTAGACATTAATTTAAAGAGTTACAGTAAATATTTTAAGTTGGAGTTGAAACCCATCACGAGATGTTATTTTTCTACTTACGGCCTACGAGTGTTGACTGTTTAATTGGGTTTTTAGTCAATTAATTTTCTCTTAAAATTTATTCCTAAAAGCTTTTTTTTTTGCTTCTAGCTTGACAAGTTTTTGATTTACAGTAAATGTTGCAGTTGTAGTTTAAAGATGAGTAGCAACTAGTTTTTACAAACACTGGCTGTTTTTTCTTTCTCTGTTTCCTTTTTGTGTTTTGATTTGACTGATTTTTCTACTTTTCAGAATTTAGAATCTGTCTTTTTATGAGTTTTAGGTTTTAATGTCCACTCTCATTTTTTTTCTTGTTACAGAGTCTCTTACATTAGTTTCTATGGTTTTATCCTCTACAACTTCTTGTTTCTCTAAATGATTTGTTACGTGTTTCTCTGTAGTTACACTTTGTGATGCTTCTGATTGATAAATGCATTTCCTAAAACATCTTTTCAAACAAAACAAAACAAAAAAAATACACTTTTGATTATTGTTCTTCTAAAACTGCAGTCTGTGGAGAGCATGGTAAATATACCAATAAAATATATATTTTATATATTTGATGTCTGTATGTTTTTCCTGATTATTGTTTTTAAATTAAATAAATGTCCTTGCATTTGAGCTGACCCTCCCATGAGTCTTCTAACTGGTTGGAGCTGATGACGCAACCTGTTACGTAAGACACTTTCCTTATTTGGAGCACACTGCTCACCTCTCGGTATAAAACCTGCAGCTCAGACGGTGGCATGGAGCTCTGTTTCAGAGGAAACGTCATCATGAGCAACAAAACCAGTTCACTTCTCTACAAAACGCTGCTGGACGTGAAGGATGTCCATTTTCTGAGAACGGTGCAAAGAAATACAAGAAGAACTCATCACAGGTGAGTCAGGGTTTATCTACTCTATTTTAATGACTTTTATTAGTTTGAATATTAACCTAAATTAGCTACTAATTAATTAAGGAAAAACCCATGTAATTATTCTGCTTAAAGAAAGTATAAACTTGATTTATCTCCACCTAATTCAAAGAGAACTTTTAAAATATTGGTTTAAGGTATCTTCACATTAAGCCATCTTACAGAAAGTGTCTCRTGTTTTACATTAATGTGCATAAATGTGTCATTTCTTCTCATTAGACACTTGGGATCTTGTGCGATGGTGGCTGGAAGGATGAGCAGTCTGCAGCTCAGTCCTGTCCCCTCCATCAGGACCCCCAGCTGCAGCTTCTTTAACTTGGCTGCTCCCATCAGCAGCCGCAGGATGGAGTACGCTGAGCACCGGACACTGGAGTGAGTGCACCGAATGCGCAGTAAATCTGTGGAAACACACAGCAGGGAGAGCGCGCCTCATCGGCTTGTTTGTGTTTTTTGCTCAGGTTCACCCCAGAACAGATCTACAGCGTGGTGGCCAACGTGGACCAGTACCAGCATTTTGTTCCCTGGTGCAAGAAGTCCCGGATGACGAAGGGACCAAACGGTGACACGCGGGCAGAGCTGGAAATAGGTTTTCCTCCCATCACTGAGCGATATACCTCTGAGCTGACCTTTGTACCAAACCACCAAATCAGAGTAAGCTCTTCACCTGATGCATCCATGAAATCAATCATTAAAACATTAAAATATTGAATTTATTTGGCAAACTCCTCAAACAAATTGAAATAAAAATAAAAATTCTGCTCAGCTTTTAGCTTTGATCATATGTAAATGTGACATAATAGCTTTCATTCACATTTTCTTTTTTCAATTAAGATATTTTTTTTTGGGCAATTTTTACACTTTTCTGTGTTTTTGCAGAGAATAGTGATTGGCATTTGTTACGTTCTGCATAATAAAAAGACATAATTTGTTTTGAAACAGGCTGTGTGCACTGATGGATCTCTCTTCAGCCATCTTGAAACTTTATGGAGGTTTGCCCCCGGAGCCAAAGACCCACCGGGCTCTTGCAAAGTGTACTTCTTTGTAAGTTTTTCTTATAAATAAAATAAATACCGAGTATTACAGCAAGTGAATATTCAAAGTCATGATAAATCTGCAATATTACAGTAATTATCATTAAAACAAACTGCAGAGATCAGCTTGCTTGCTTAAACAGCACTAATTAGACGTCTTCCTTTCTGTACTGTTGCGAAAGGATTACTGACTCAGAGGAAGTGTGAAATAAAATCTTGTTAGGTTCTAAATTTAGTCCTCTGCAGCCTGACGATGTCCTTTAAGGATGGAAATAGCAGCGCGTGTACAGGTGGAGCAGTTTGGCCTGAAAGTTGACCCAGATTACCTGGAGGTTAGCCAGGAACTAGTTCGTGAAGCGAGAAGGTGACGCTGTCTGTTTGATCACATCTGAACGTTTCAAAGGAGTAATTCTGGTGTTTTCTTTAGGTCTCGTTCGAGTTCAAGTCGGTGCTGCACTCTCAGCTGGCCAGCGTGTTCTTCGACGAGGTGGTGAAGCAGATGGTCGGTGCCTTTGAGTCTCACGCTGCGACGCTTTACAGAAACAACACGTCGTTCAGGAGGAGACCGGCGTTAAACAACCACTGACCCCACCATGTTGTTTTTGTTTTTTTTAAACCAAAGCCTGCCGTCGTGCTGCTTGGACTACAACTTGACTGACACTGGAGACCAGTTTGCACTTAAAATATCTCTATTTATGTCTCAACTAAAAACTAATTTATTTTAAATTCGTATTTATTACCTGGGCCAAAATGAATGTATCATATTTAAACCATCCTGTTTTACAGAAATAAACACTTTGTGGGATAATACAGTTTGTCAAGCTTTTTTTCATCCACAAGCTTTTTGTTGACACTGAAAGAAATAGACATTATTGCGTGTTCGTTACCAGGATGCGTGCGAAATCGTATTGAGAAATGTGCAAATGTAATGTGAGTGTGAAAGTAGACCATACGGAACCCGAGAGCTCTTGCTGATAACCGATTTAATGCAGCACCAGGAAATCAGATAGAAATTAGGAAATGACCAGAATAGCTTCAGGGCAGGACTCCRCCTATTGATTACGTCACCAGTGAAGGGGGCCCCTGYCTYATGTCAGAGCCCTGCCCGCTCACAAAGAAGTCTACCCTAATGCTTAAAAGTTCAAATGTGTTGTATATGTTACCAGGCATGTAGCTATTAATACAGAATCAAGTTCATTATAAATCCCATCTTTCAGTCATTACAGTTCTATCAGAAAAACTATACCATGTGTAGTGTAATTACAATCAGTGTATTGCATAAACCCCAATAATTCCTTCAAAACTTGAAGGTCTCTTGAACTAAAAAGCTTGAAAGTGTAGTTGATCATATAATGGCCATTTGCTTCCTCATTGCTTTCAGTAATCATATAAAAAAATCTTTCTGAGAATAGTTGCACATATCTTGATGTGCACCACACACCTACTTCACTTTTATCAGAAACACCAAAGTCTGTTTTTTTATTTTTTATTTTTCCTGAGAAACACTTTAAAGCACTTGAAGAGCTTTTATTGTGAAAATGTCTTTATCTTTTCGAACACTGACATCAGAACTTGGAGGTCAGAACTGGAAGGTCAGAATTGACATCATTTATTGTAGTTATTGCTACATGTTTGAGTAAACTTGTGCCTGGAATAGTGGTTCAAAGTCAAAACAACAGTAATACTTGTGTGGGGGTCACCCCGAGGGGGGATAAACATCTCCACCTGTCTTTGACCATGGTCTCAGAAGACCTCCCTCAAAAGAGACATTTTATTTTTTTTAATCAAGATAATAAACACAATAATAATGTTCTTTAGATTTTTTTATTTCTTCTTTTAACTAAAAGTTATTATCATTTTACAAATCAAAGTTACATAATGAAATGAATGACARTCTATCTTTTGAAGGAGGTCTTCTGAGACCAGGGTCAAAGACAGGTGGAAATGTTTATTCCCCCATCGGGGTGACCCCTACGCTACAGAGAGTGAGGTAATATTATACGACATGTGTAAATGTCATCATGTACAATCTGATCATCACTTGAAATCATCTCACTGAGGAACACAACATCTAGATCAGAATAAAAATAATTAAATTAGGTTCATTTGTCTTGAGGTTTTCAGCAGATTTTTCAATTTGCCAAATTTGTAACAAGMGTTCCTTTAGCAGTCACAGTCATCCAAAGTATTTTAGGAAACATATGAGGATTTTTTTTTCCAGCCTCATAAAATGCAACATGAATTAATATACATTTCAAAGAAGGGAATTGTCGAAATCTGTTTGCTTTCATACTTTTACTGTTCCAAAGGTTTTATTGTTTTGCCCTTCAGAAAGACAGATACCTGCTGAAAGACTTCTCAGCTTCATCATAAAGATAATGGCTCGTAAACTTATCACACAAGCCACACAAAATTTAAGATGATCACTGCAGCTAAWTGAGTTAAAAACTGCCATAACTCAGKCAKTTTCACAGAAGTTTACCTRTRAAACYTGTTGTGGTAGTCCGGCCCGTGCAGGCAGTGTAGGCAAACACTAAGGGTGCCGTCAATCTAGGGGGCAACAAATGAGGGATGAAAAAACATATTTCATAGTTTTTATTAGAGTAAAGTTGATTTAGTCTGTAGAATACTCACTGGTTCCTCTGGTTTATGAAGGTAACTTGTTTTGTGGGTTCCTCAGCTGCTTTGTTGCTACATGAGGTGTTATATGGTGCAGAGGATATTTTGTGAAAAAAGTATCTTATGATGCAGTCAAGACTAACTACTGGTTCTTAGTGGGGAAATAGGAAAAAAATAAGAATAATGGAAGTTTTAGTTATGCTCTCAGATAAAGTTTAGGTTAAAGTCTGGTTTTCAGCGTTCTATATTCATAAAATACGGACTTTTTTATGGTTTTTATATTAATCCCCAAAAT